TTTTTTTTTTTTTAAAGCAATTTGGAGATATCCGCACTTTGTACACTGCGTGCAAGCATAGGGGATTTGTTATGATCTCCTATTATGATTTAAGGGCAGCATGTAATGCTATGAAAGCACTTCAATATAAACCACTAAGGAGTAGGAAGCTTGATATACATTTCTCAATTCCGAAGGTAACATTTCTGTCGTGCATATTTCTCTATCCGTTCTGGTTTCTGTTCTCCATTATATGCTCTTATCATTTTTTTTATATCTTTTATTTGTTTGTCTTTGGTGGACTATTTTTTAGGAGAATCCATCAGATAGAGATATTAATCAGGGCACTCTTATGGTTTTCAACCTCGATTCTTCTGTTTCCAACGCCGAACTCCTTGAGATTTTTGGTGTCTATGGTGACATCAAAGAGGTGAATGGGTTTGTCTTACAATTAACATATCGTTCATGTTCAATGGAGTTGCTAACTATAGCTTTTGTGGTGCAGATCCATGATGCTCCACATATGCCGGACAACAAATTTATAGAGTTTTATGATGTCAGAGCTGCAGAATCTGCACTTCGTGCTTTGAACAAGAGTGATATTGCGGGAAAACAGATTAATCTTGTACCCGATTGTCCTGGTGGTGGCTCCATAAGGTGAATCAACATTTTTATTTGAATCCATAAATTCAGCTTTCACATTATTCATCAGGAGCCAATCTTTATAAGTACAGTTATTACTAATAAAGTAGTTAGAAACCAGCTGGGCTTATTTACGATATTTCTATCTGCCAACTTAAACGGCTAATCTATCTGTTTTATAGATTCATGCGGCCCTTTTCTTCAGAGTTGGAGCAAGAACAACAGCACAGCCCTACTAATAATTTGTCAACAGGGTTTTCTGGTAATTTTCTTGTATATGTGTACAGATAGCTGGTGTATTTTCTATATAGCTTGTAATTGCTTATGGGTTGTAATTTTATAACTACAGTATTTGAGGAAAGCACACCCAACACAGATAACGGAACTATTCTTGGCCCACTTTCAGCAAATGGAGGCCCTGTTACTCCACACCTGGATAATGTGCTGCACCCTGGAGTATCTTCTAGTGTACCTAACAGATTACCTTCTCTAATAAGAGTTGAACCTGGAAATCAATCCAGTATTACTGATCCTAGCCACTTACAGAACCACCTGAAATTTGAGCTCCAGGGGCCGACTAATCTTCATCCTCATTCACTTCCTGAACATCATGATGGTATAGCGACTGGCCCTCCCTTTGGTTCTCCAAGCAAGATTGCATCAACTATTGGTACCAGACCACCAGAAATGATTGATGGCTTGAAGGAAGGTAGTGATTGCCCATATCTTGTTCCTTCCTTATTTCATCCCTTTTGCAATAAATCTCGGGTATATTTTTATCTTCTCTTTTCTGGATTCACGACCTTTAAAATAAACTGTTAGGAGGATAGAACACTGAAGGGGTCCACTGACCCCTGATTTCCATATGCTTGTATAGCTATTCTTTTGAACTAGTGGAATGAAGAAGATATAATAATATCTGCGGTCATACCTTGTGGTTTGCGTACATATGCAATTCTTTGTTTCTATTATCGAGCAAGGACTTTTAGTATACTTAGGTGTCTTCATTGGAAAATATGATTGTACTTAGACTTGTTTCTTTGTAGGTTTCGTCACATTTAGTTTCTTGTATGTACCTGCATATTGTCACACTTTGTATAGCTTTCATGCTGTCATATCTTTCGACTTCGCTGATATATCATATGTGATCTTTGTTTTTTTCAGCTTTTAGTTCCTCTGGAAATGGGAGCTTTCCTTCTCCTGGGCATCATTACATGTGGAGTAATTCACATCATCTACAGCAGCCTCAGCCCATTTTGTGGCCTACTTCACCGTCGTTTGTTAATGGGCTTGGTGGTGCTACTGCTCATCCTCAACAACTGCATACAATTCCCAGAGCTCCATCTCACATGCTGAATTCACTTCTACCTCTAAATAACCATCATGTTGGATCAGCACCTTCTGTCAATCCTTCTCTCTGGGACAGACGACATTCTTTTGCTGGGGAGTCACCTGATGCTACTGTATTTCACCCAGGATCTCTAGGGAACATGAGAATTTCGGGTAATCCACTCAAATATGTTCCTCATAATATTTTTCCTCGGGCTGGTGGAAATTGTATGGATGTGCCAATCGCTACCAAAAATATTGGGTTACATCCTCATCATCGGAGGTGCATGATTTTCCCTGCAAGAGGTCAAATGTTTCCTATGATGGGTTCATTTGATTCTCCTAATGAACGGGCGAGAAGCCGCAGGAATGAAGGCAACTCGAGTCAAGCTGATAACAAGAAGCAGTTTGAGCTTGACTTAGACAGAATTGTACGAGGAGAAGATAAGCGGACAACCCTTATGATAAAGAACATTCCTAACAAGTATGCCGTAGTACATTAATATACTGATTGTATTTGCTTATCCCAGTGATAACTCTTCTTGTTCTCTTGTTGATAAATGCTTAAACATTTGTCATGCCGGTAGGCCACTTCATGCATGCATTTTCGGGCAGATGCTTTTATCATACCATTCTCCTTTTAACGGTTTTTTTAGAGATAATAATTTCTTTCCCAGGCAAACTTAAGATTGAAACTAGTTTTTCTGTGGCTCTTATGCAATTGCACGCGTTATCTGTTTCTACCAGCCAGAGATCATGCCGACCATCAATATTTTAGATTTTCCCAATTTGACTATATTCATGTGCCAATTTTATGTTTCTTTTTAATACTAATACATCATGCTCAGTTTGAAGTTGCGCTTCGATTTTAATCTTCATATGAAAAGGTTGATTCTTGATCTTACCTGCCAGGATATGTACAACCATGGAATTTGTTCATGAACAAAGGAAATCTGAGATTCTTTATTATCTCACTATGGCTATGTAATATCGCTCGTGTATAATGTGCTTTTGTCACTCCTATTGTTACATATACAATTTTGTTTTGCTTCCAATATTAGGTACACCTCAAAGATGCTTTTGGTTGCCATTGACGAACGTCACAGAGGAACTTATGACTTTATATACTTACCGATTGATTTTAAGGCAAGTTTACTTTGACGTGTATAATGCAGCCAGGTGTTTGAACATGATATTAATTTGACAGTAAAAGTCTTCCATGTTTGACTCTTCACTATTTCTTTTGTTGGCAGAACAAATGCAATGTGGGCTACGCGTTTATAAACATGACAGATCCTTCCCTCATAGTTCCCTTTTATCAGGTAATTTCAGTTGGATCCCTTGTTTTTTTAATTAAAAAAAAAGTATAAAAGCACACCAGTATCGATAACCCTTTTTTTTTTTAATTGCTTTTTCAGACATTTAATGGAAAGAAATGGGAAAAGTTCAATAGTGAAAAAGTAGCATCTTTGGCATATGCTCGAATACAAGGAAAGAATGCCCTCGTTGCACACTTCCAGAATTCAAGCTTGATGAATGAAGACAAGAGGTGCCGTCCAATACTGTTCCATACCGATGGTCCTAATGCAGGCGATCAGGTACTGTTTGTATTCTCGATGGATTTATAGTCTCGATGCCATTAATTTATGCAGGTTCTGTTTGTATTTATGATATATTTAGTTTTTTTATATAAATATTCATTTTTATTATTAATATATTTGTCATCGACTGTTACTATTTCATTCAAAAATAAATAAATAAATAAATAAATAAAAAATAAGAATTCAATAGGGAGAGTAGGTAGCAGATTGGTTTTTTAACTTTTATATTGGACTGAATATTTCTCTGTTAACAAAGATCTCAAGTTTTTTTTTTTTTTTTTTTTTTTTTTTTTTTTTTTT